GGGGTCACTGAGGGGTTTTGGGGGTCACTGAGGGGTTTTGGGGTCACCAAAGGGGTTTTGGGGGTCACAGAAGAATTTTGGGGTGCCCCAGATGGGACAGAGAGGGGACAAACAGGGACAGAGCCCAAAGTCCCAGCAGGACCTGGGGACGTTCCCAGGGTGATCCATTCGTGTTCCCTGGTGGGCTCTGGATCTTTGGGGGGATTTTTGGGGTGATTTTGGGGTGATTTTTGGGGTGATTTCAGGATGATTTTTAGGTGATTTTGGGATGATTTTTAGGTGACTTTTTATGATTTTTGGGGTGATTTTTGGGGTGATTTCAGGATGATTTTGGGGTGATTTTGGGATGATTTTTGGGTGATTTTGGGGTGATTTCAGGATGATTTTTGGGTGATTTTGGGATGATTTCAGGATGATTTTTGGGGTGATTTTGGGGTGATTTCAGGATGATTTTTAGGTGATTTTTGGGATGATTTTGGGGGTGATATTTGGGGTGATTTTTGGGATGATTTTTGGGGTGATTTTGGGGTGATTTTTGGGGTGATTTCAGGATGATTTTTGGGGTGATTTTGGGATGATTTTTAGGTGATTTTTGGGTGATTTCAGGATGATTTTTGGGGTGATTTTGGGATGATTTCAGGATGATTTTTGGGATGATTTTTAGGTGATTTTTGGATGAGTTTTGGGATGATTTTTAGGTGATTTTTGGGGTGATTTTTAGGTGATTTTTGGGGTGATTTTGGGATAATTTTTGCGGTGATTTTAGGATGATTTTTAGGTGATTTTTGGGGGGATTTTTGGGTGATTTCAGGATGACTTTTGGGGTGATTTTGGGGTGATTTTTAGGTGATTTTGGGATGATTTTTGGGGTGATTTTGGGATGATTTCAGGATGATTTTTGGGGTGATATTTGGGATGATTTTTGGCATGATTTTTGGCATGATTTTTGGGGTGATTTTGGGATGATTTTTGGGGTGATTTTGGGATGATTTTTGGGGTGATTTTTGGGATGATTTTGGGGTGATTTTTGGGATGATTTTGGGGTGATTTTGGGGTGATTTTTGGGATGATTTTTGGGGTGATTTTGGGATGATTTCAGGATGATTTTTGGGGTAATTTTTGGTGTGATTTTGGCATGATTTTGGGGGTGATTTCAGGATGATTTTTGGGGTGATTTTGGGGTGATTTTTGAGGTGATTTTTGGGGGGATTTTGGGATGATTTTTGGGATGATTTTGGGGTGATTTTTGGGGTCATTTTTGGGATGATTTTTGGGGTGATTTTTGGGGTGATTTTGGGATGATTTTTGGGGTGATTTTTTGGGTGATTTCGGCATGATTTTGGGATGATTTTGGGGTGTTTTTTGGCGTGATTTTTGGATGATTTTTAGGTGATTTTTGGGGTGATTTTTGGGATGATTTTGAGATGAGTTTTGGGATGATTTTTAGGTGATTTTTGGGGTGATTTCAGCATGATTTTGGGATGATTTTTGAGGTGATTTTTGGGGTGATTTTTGGGTGATTTCAGGATGATTTTTGGGTGATTTCAGGATGATTTTTGGGGTGATTTTTGGGATGATTTTGGGATGATTTTTAGGTGATTTTTGGG